CATCACTGAGGCCACTGACACCAGAGAAGATCCTCTCTCTGTGTGAGATCTCATCACTGTGCCCAGTGACACCAGAGAAGATCCTCTCTCTGTGTGAGATCTCATCACTGTGCCCAGTGACACCGGAGAAGATCCTCTCTCTGTGTGAGATCTCATCACTGTGCCCAGTGACACCAGAGAAGATCCTCTCTCTGTGTGAGATCTCATCACTGTGCCCAGTGACACCGGAGAAGATCCTCTCTCTGTGTGAGATCTCATCACTCTGCCCAGTGACACCAGAGAAGATCCAGAGAAGCCCCCGTGTTGCTTGCGTGGTTGTGTGTGAGAGCAGCAATGTACCAACCCCAATGAACTGTATTAGCCCCTTCCTCAGGCAAGGCCCAAGGTCACACCCTGTCCCGCCGTAGCCATGGCGACAGCACATACCTGTTCTTACATATTGACGAGGAGCACCTTTGGTGAGAGCCATCCGACGACACGTCAACCGGGTACAGCGGAGACAGCGGACTGAACTGTAAAGCGGTCAGAGGGCTTGAGCTTCACAGCGTCACATGACCATACACAAATAAAGTAACAAATCTGATTTTCAAAGCCTTACACTTCTAAAGGAAATGGGTGACACTTTACCTGGTGCCAGTCTCTCTTCCCAATGGATGGCAGCCAAAACCTGCAGGACGAGCAACAAGGCGATTGTAATTATTGTTAGTATTAGTAGCGGGGTACCATTTTTCAACCATCTAACATCCCTGTAGCCCGATCCGCACATGTGACCCCGCTGTGAGGCATTCTGAGAGACAGCACTGCTCCGGGGAGCCGGCGCTCACTCTTTCTGGTAGAGGTCCTGGGAGAGATGCTTCATCCTCTCCACCGACATGGCCATCATGCTGGTCTCCTGTGAAGGCCACAGAGGGCGCCAGTGAGACTGGCTTCGCACGCCACACTTAACGAAAATCCCCCAGCGTTCTTGACGCTGGGCTGCAGTGAAGCTCGCCAAGAAACTACACACGATTAGGTTTACTGCTACGTTTAACAGAAATGATGTAGCTATTATGTAATAATGAAGGATCAAGTCGGGTCTCTACACAGATTTCAATAACTTTAATTATAACTTTAATGACCTTTACATGTTTAAGGTAAAATGGAATTAAATGTATAAGGTGAATATTAGTGAAAAAATTTGCAGTTAAATTACACATCTCTATTTCAGCTTAAGACAAATTCTGTTGTTAGAAGCTGACATGGTTGAACCAGGTGTCAACAAGCCGCATCAGGCCAAACCAGGCTGAGCCATGCTGACCCAGGCTGAACCAGGTCGAGCGAGACTATGCCGGCTGAACCTGGCCAAGCCAGGCTGAGTCTGAGATATCCAGGCTGTGCCAAGCTGAACCAAGCCCAACCAGGCCGAGCCAAGCTGAGCCAGGCCCAACCAGGCCAAGCCAAGCTGAGCCAAGCTGAACCAGGCCCGACCAGGCCGAGCCAAGCTGAACCAGGCCTGCTCACCTTGCCAGGCAGCCTCCGTCTGCCCTTCCTGATGCACCGGGCAGCCACACCGGGCAGGCGACTGAGACGGGCGTGGTATCCTGCGGTGTGGAGAATGGCACCACGTTACTCTCATGTCACACCGTGCCAGTTTAATTTCAAAACTCCTTCACACCGTGACAGGAGAAGACAAACATTATGAACCCCACCCCCTCCCCCCAAACGGCATCATTAAGGCTGGAGCAGACATCAAGTCACATTCAGTACCAGTGTCTCTTTGAAAATTCACCCTTTAAAGTATGTTCTCTACCATGTTGCTTTCAGTTTATTTTGTTTTTAAATGTGTTGTTCAGTGTTGTTTGTCTTCCATTTTCAGTGGAAGGTAACACTGCATTTTCAAAACTGCAGCACAGCCACCCAGACATAACAGTCATACTGTGTTGTTACTTGTTTGTTTCTTCGTTTGGTAAATGCGTACACACCCCACGTCTGTGTTGGGATACTGTGTGTGTGTGTGTGTGTGTGGGGGGGGGGGGGTTCGTGTTTGTCCATTCACCTGAAGTGTTTTGATTAAACGCACTGTGAGTGTCCAAAACAAGGTTAGGTTCGTTTCCAATTTTTGTTTCAGTTTTAATTTCTCCATGTTCACTTCACCCTTTCCACCCTTTCAAAGGCTCTTGTCATAGTCACTGCAATTTTATTCAGACCCATGTTGTTTTCATTAACTTATTGTTTTAGTATTATTTAATTTTATCCATTACCATTATGGTAGCTAATACAGTACGCTGTATAACGAACGAGTCTTTTTATATCGCCACACAGCAGATCTCACTTCCTGTTGTAACCAAACACAATGCTGTTGTACTCAAAACGTTTCCAAACAGTGCTCTCACTTTTAAAACCCCAAAAAGAGAAAAGCAAAAACTATTCTGTACTGGTCTGAATAATACTTCAAATGTTCCATCTTAGTGTTCACAAATTGATAAAATGGCTTTCTTTGATTGCTGGCTAAACATTTTTAATGTTCATAAACTATTGCATGCCTTCCCAAACTCCATTTAAAGCTCAGAAAAACAAAAGTCGAACAAACATTGTTATGCAAAGACAATAAAATGTTTCGAGGTAAAAACAATTTTCAGCTGCAACTTTTACGTAATTTTCGTCTAAAAGAAAACATCCCAGAATTATTCCCTCCAAACTTCGGGTCTTTCCAATGGCTGGTGAGGTACAGCACCTCAGTCACGGCAAATGTGTATCAGCGTTTGTGGAGTTATAAGGCTCCAAGGGACGAAGGATGGCGCCGGTTCCGCACTTTGACTTTAAAATGCAAGTTCTGGCTCGGCGGTCACTGATTATCGGCCGATTTGCCTCCTTTTATTAACAAGCCCTCCAGCATTAGTGCCAATCAGGGCTAGAAAGATTCAAAGAAGCCAGCATTCATTTAAATTGCACTCCTTGTTGGGGAGGGTTAGGGGTGCAGTATGTTGATTGTTAATCAGACGAGCAGGGCGTGTGCGTGACAGGGATGGGCAGCAGTCTGGCCTGGCAGCAGTGAGTCAGTCACCTCTCTGAGCGGGCCGGGCCGGATGGAGGAAGGTGGGTGACGAGAGCTTGTCCAGGCCTGACTCCAGCGATTCCAGCTCGGGTGGGGCGTCTGCGTCCCAGCCAGGAAGCAGCGCCGAGACCCCCATTCCCTGACCGCACTCCCCCTCGAAGAACCAGTCGCTCTGCTCGTCATCACCTGTTTGTAATACAAACCATCAGTCACACTGCCCCTGGCCCCGTCCTTACCATGTGACAGGATTTAGGACAACAGGCAGTTCATGAGAGGGTCTAGGGTACGAGAATTCTATCAAGGAAAACAGCAAGCAGGGAAAACAGCATCCAGAAAGTACATCACACGCTGTCAGAATGAGAACATTCAGAGATTTACAACTTGCAGCCATAACAGGCCTCAGCAGCCCATCAGAGTGATGTACCGTCTGGTCTGAGATAGTCAAACACCCCCCCCTCAGTCGTCTTCAGTCACACCATCTCCCCATATCAGACTAAGCGACACTGGCACAGGAGTGCAGACCACGCACACGCCACGTAAACCGCCACACCACGCGTCCCTCGTAAACGGGTCAAAACAAGGACGCCGCCCCCCCCC